TCCAGTAGAAGTGGGTCTAAGGCACCAAGGTCGGCCCACTAGTAGGAGATTATAGTTAAGATGATTGTCTTTGTGATAATTGTCTGGTATGATACTATCGGTTATGTTTTATGTACTAGTCTTCTATGTGATTATGTGATAGTGGTAGGTAGGGGACTAGTCCCCGAGTCCGGTTGAGATAAACCGGCAGGGTAGGTTGGGCACCCCAGAATTGCCTAACAGTATGTTATGCTATGTTATGTTATTATATAGTAGTGGTAGGGGTGAAATAGTCCCCATAGCTGGTTGAGATAAACCGGAGGGTAGGTCGGGAACCCAAAATTGTCTGGCAGGGTACGTCGGGCACCCTAGAACTGCCTGACAGGGTAGGTCGGGCACCCCTAAAATTGTCCGGCAATATGTTTGTTATTTGGTATGTGGTATGATGGGGGAACTCACTAAGCTTTGTGCTTATAATTTCCAGTTTTGTTTTCAGGTACCTCTTTATCAAAGGGGAATGAGCCAACACGGTAGCAACGCATCACACACACATGATTTTCGCATTATGAGATTCTTGCAATTGTACTTTGACATTGTTACTATTTTATGATATGGTTTTGAGACATGTAACTGTGGTTTTATGAAATGAAGTGACTTGATGGCGTTTTCTTATATATATATATATATATATATATATATATATATATATATATATATATATATAATATATATATATATATATATATATATATTCTGTAAACTGTTATATCAAAATGAAATTTTTGGTTTTGAAAATTGGGATGTTACAGTATGTCACACGTACATGCTCGGAACCTCGTCTAACCCTTGCATGAGTACGCTAAGCGTACCATGTCGTACGCCCCACGTACTCGCTTTGCAGCTTGTACGCCAAGCGTACCATGTGGTACGCCCCGCGTACAACATAAGGACCAAAATGCAAATATCAAATACACAAGGGATCATAAAGGACATACCAGGATCCCAAGTGTTACATAAAATTTAAGAAAACGTGTTTAGTTGGAACCGATGGAGTTTTCATTTTCCATCTTAGAAATTTGGAAAACTGTAAAAATCACTTTTCCAATTTCCAAACAATTTGGAAAATTGAAAAAATTTTCATTTTCTTAAAAAACTTTGGAAAACTGAACAAACCAAACATGTTTTCAAAATTTTCGCTTTTCTTAGAAAATTTTCCACAACCAAACATACTATAAATTTTGTGCTTATAGTTTAAGTTTTGTTTCATGTACTTCTGGTTCGAAGGGGAAGGGCCCGATTTGATCGCAACGCATCCACCAATATTTCCACACTTTTATGATTTTGGGATTGTACTCTGATATGTATTTTTTACTTTGACATACTTCTGGATGGTTGGATATGAACATTTGATGATTTTTGGTTGAATTAAAAATAAAAATTTTACTTATGATTTTCGGGATATTACAGTCATTGTCGGATATATAACGATGACATCGTTTATAAAAATAAATGTTAACCTGTGGTGGTTGTGTTGTTGACTGGTGTTGGTGGTTATGTTTGTCGTTGGTGTCGGTGAGATAACATATGAGAGGTAAGGGATTCGTTATGGGCAGGATGCTATATTCCCAAAAAGAAGGCGATGTTCAACGAGGAGGGTGACTTTCTGACGATGAGGGCAATGTTGCAACAATGGGGCCAACGTTCTGGCGAGGATTGCGGCGGTGGTGGTATCTTCCAACAGTAAAAATCAAATGAATAATTAAGGAATTGTAAGAGAGAGATGGAGTAAAGGAAGGGGTAAGTAGTATTTTATTTTTGCATGTAAAATGACAAATATACCCTTACATGAGGAGCATACCAATTTAACTGGAGAAAAATAACGACAGTTAACGCGAGGGACCAAATCCGCATGAAAGTTATAATTCTGGACTAACCATGTGACAAAAAAATGGACTCAAATTGTAATTTTTGATATACAAGAGGGACCAATTTTGCAATTTACTCTTATATTACCTTAAGCTAGTACTATTTGACAATCCGAAGGTCGGACCGGAGAACTAAACTTTATACACTCATTTATTTTGTACGTTCTTTCGGTTGTAGTTTCTATGGTTGTAGTTTCTATCATATATGTTCAGTTCTTCGAACCAAACAAACTAATGAATACTAATAAGGGGTGGACGCATGATTTTGTAATAGGGGTTGCACATGAATATTAGGGGTTGCATGATAGTAGAAAAAATAAAAAATTTAAAAAATGTCGAAATTTTTCCTACTGTGGCCGGAAAATTTAGGGGTTGTCGGTGCCACCCCGGAACCCTCCTAAATCCGCCCCTGATACTAATCTTATGTGTTACATGATATCCATGGTCGTTTCAAACATATTTTGGGTCCAGTGCGAAATAAAAAAAATAAACCCTTAATATACATAAATATTATCAAGTTTTTTTTATAATAACTCAATAATTGAAAAAGAAAATTACTTTTATTATCTTCTAAATATAATAATTTCCTTAAACAATTTGAGTCGCCATGGATCGTCGTCCCTATCGACCACCCTCTGAGACGAGTCTATGATATTCCTTCATGCTAGAATGAAATGGGCCAAGTTAGAATGAATTCATTTAATAAAGACAAAACTTCAAAAATGGTCCCTGTGATTTTCGAAAACATCAAGTTTAGCCCCTAAGTTCAAAAAACCTCACAGATCGTTCCTGTGGTTTCAATACTTTTAACATTTGATCATTCCGGCTCACTCCGTTACCATTTAGCCGTTAAGTCAGGGACATTTTTGTCATTTCATTACATAGGGACCATTTATGAGGTTTTCTATAACTTTTTTTTAAAATAAATAAAAAAAAAAATTAATATGCAATGGTCCCACCCTCTCTCTCTCTCTCTCTCTCTCTCTCTCGTTTAATACCCAAATTCAATACCCAAACCATCAGTAGCCATAAGACAGGTCTCACCATCGTCCCTCCTCTCACCACGAAACCATGATTCAACCACCATAACTTATTTGAAGCATATATGCCCACCAACAACTAATTCTCTTAATTCTACCCAACCAATAGCGAAAATTAGCCCTACTGCAACCCGAAGGAAGATTTCGGAGGCAAAATCAAAAAAAGATTTGCAAACTGATCTCAAAAAAAGATGGTGGTTTGAACACTCCAATTCCTCCTGGGAGGTTAATAATAGATCAACTTGATTTTGAAAGCCGATTTCGTGAAACGGAATCAAAATTGAAGTGAAATCCTCTAATTTCGATCAAAACGAACTCCAAACTTGACTTTAACGTTTGCCGCCTACAGTATTCTTTTAGAACTCTGATTTCGTGATTCCACAAATACTCTAACGTCTTTCGATTTTCACAAAGAAATCAAGCAAGAACAAACCCAAATCAGTTGCTTTTCGATTTTTGATTTTCAGTTTTAGATTTTAATAATCAAGCAAGAACAAACCTAAACGTCGTCGCCATCAAAGAGGTGGAACAACATCGCTGGAGAAGGAGAGAGACGAGCAGCTCAACCATCGTCTTCATCAAGTTGTAGATCGGAGAGACGTTTCGGAAATCAATTTTCGATCGTATTCCAAAATGGTTCCAGAAATCAATTCTCGATCGAAATTAGAGGAAGTGATGGAGTGATCATACAATGGTCCATGGCTAAAAATTACATATAGTTTGGTGATGGAGTGCAAGCCATCTAAGGACCTCTAAATCTTGGGTTTTTAGTTTCCAAGTTTTGATATTGGTTACCAGATATAAAATGAAGATGAAGTTGATGCTTTTGGTTATTTGGCATAAACGAGAGAGAGAGAGAGAGAGAGAGAGAGAGAGAGAGAGAGAGAGAGAGAGAGAGAGAGAGAGAGAGAGAGAGAGAGAGACCCTTGCATATTATATTTATTTAAAAAAAAAAAAGTAATAGAAAACATCATAAATGGTCCCTGTGTAATGAAATGACGAAAATGCTCCTGACTTAACGGCTAAATGGTAACGGAGTGAGTCGGAAAGACCAAATGTTAAAAGTTTTGAAACTACAGGGACGATCTGTGAGGCTTTTTAAACTTAGGGATTAAACTTGATATTTTCGAAAATCACAGAAACTTTTGAAGTTTTGTCTTTAATAAAAGTTCAACATTAACGATTCTATATAAGAAGTTGGTGCCTTTGGGACAGGGAAGAACAACATTCCCCAGCGAGAGAGTGCATATGGTTGTTGAATAAATGTCAACGTTTCGGCCTACCCCTACCAGCCCATATACAAAAAATAAAAGTATAAATAGTTACATTTTTATAATTTAAATTTAATATTTAAAAGGAAATAATAGATATTAATTATATTCCATACAACTATTAACTGACAAACATTATATGAAATACTAGATAGTTTTATTTATCATACTATCAGTTGACGTAACATATATTTTAATCTTATTATTAAATATTTAATATAACAGATTTGTTATTTTTACTAATCTAATATTTTAACCATATTAGTTGAATATAAAATACAAAATAATGATACATTTATTTTTTGGTATTTTATATATATTACATATATTAATTAAAAAACATTATATATTTTTGAAGTTAACATATTTTGAAAGTTTGAATAACAAAAGACTGAATTTCCTACCAAAATTATAGGTAAGAATTAGGATGTGAAAACTGTTTCTGTTTTACATGGATGTATACAACTGTAACAAAAAAAAAAAATAATAATAATAATAATAATAATAACGCGTAATAATGTTTCAAGTGGCGATCGTATCTTCGTTTACTATTCTTTCAAAGCTTTCAAGCATCGCCACCATCGTGCATAAGCTGCCCACGTTCTTTCCTCTCTACTTCCTTCACCAGTCTCCCCTGATCTTCACCTTAAATTATCCTTATTTATCCAATTTCATCCCCTGAATGTCCTTTCTATCCACCTCCCACATCTTCTTTTTCACAGTCTACATCTGGGGTTCCAATTTCTTAGCTCAATTCCATCCCCGTATCCCATAATCGATCAAAAATGGGTGTATGTATCAGCAAAAGCAAGAGTTCTCCAAGAGCTGATGTGGGGAGTCCCTATGATCAGAGATCGAATGAGCCGAACATAGTTTACTCCAAATCCCCTGCTCCGGAAGCCCAATTGCCGGCCAGAAAACAGCCACCACCACCCAGCCCCAAAAGGTTTTTCAAATCGGATACGATTCTGGGCAAATCATTTGAAGATGTCAAAGAACACTACACTATGGGAAGAGAATTGGGTAGAGGTCAATTTGGGGTTACGTACATGTGTACACAGAATTCAACCGGGTTGAAGTATGCCTGTAAGTCGATATCTAAAAAGAAATTGATTACAAAGGGGGATAAAGAGGATATGAGAAGAGAGGTTCAGATTATGCAGCATTTGAGCGGGCAAGCTAATATCGTTGAGTTTAAAGGTGCTTATGAAGATAAACAATCTGTTCATTTGGTTATGGAAGTTTGTGAAGGAGGAGAGCTTTTCGATAGGATAATTGCAAAAGGTCATTACAGTGAAAGAGCTGCTGCTTCAATCTGTAGATCGATTGTTAATGTGGTTCATGTATGTCATTTTATGGGTGTGATGCACCGCGATTTGAAGCCCGAGAACTTCTTACTTCTGGATAAGAGTGAGAACGCGCTTTTGAAGGCAACAGATTTTGGATTATCAGTTTTCATTCAAGAAGGTATTGCGTATGACCCTATTTTGATTTTGACCCTTACATTTCATCTGATTTTAGTCATCGATTCTCATTTATCCGATCTAGTCGACGATTATGATAATCTTGTTGTGACGATGAACAACTTTTACAGGAAAATCATATCGCGATATTGTTGGCAGTGCGTATTACGTTGCGCCAGAAGTTCTGAAGCGTAAATACGGGAAGGAAATAGATATATGGAGTGCAGGGGTGATGCTGTACATCTTACTCAGTGGTGTGCCTCCATTTTGGGCTGGTAATTTCTTCTTCTTCTTCTTCTTCCCATAAGTATTTGTTCATCTTCAATCTTCATCACAATTTTCATCGATTCAACTAATTTGTACCAAATTACAGAGACGGAGAAAGGAATATTTGACGAGATTCTGAAAGGAGATATTGATTTTGAAAGTGATCCATGGCCATCGATTTCTACAAGCGCCAAACACCTCGTGCAAAGAATGCTTACACTTGACCCTAAGAAGCGTATAACTTCCGCTGAGGTTCTTGGTATGCTGCGTTTTGCAATTTTTCATCTTCATTTTGCAATTTATCAATTGTAATACTAATAGCGTTGGTGTTTGAACTTTTACAGAGCATCCATGGATTAGAGAAGATGGAGAAGCATCAGACAAGCCAATCGACAGTGCAGTCCTTTCTAGGATGAAGCAATTCCGAGCCATGAACAAACTCAAGAAACTCGCCCTCAAGGTTTGGTTTTCTTAATAACACAACTTCCTCAGATTCCCTTATACATCTTAACCCTAACTCTGCAACGAGCATAATTTGTTTAATAAATCTCTTCAGGTGATTGCTGAAAATCTATCAGCTGAGGAAATCCAAGGGCTAAAATCGATGTTTATGAACATGGACACGGACAAAAGTGGCACAATCACCTACGATGAACTTAAAACAGGGTTGGCTAGACTCGGGTCAAAACTCAGTGAGTCTGAAGTTAGACAACTCATGGATGCTGTAAGTTTTTTCCAACTTTCAAGATTTAAAGATTTTCATCATCATCTAATAATAATAATAATAATAATAATAATAATAATACTGGTTCTGTGTTACATACAGGCTGATGTAGACGGGAATGGATCAATTGACTACATTGAGTTCATCACAGCAACAATGCATAGACACAAACTAGAACGTGAAGAAGATTTGTACAAAGCATTTCAGCATTTTGATACAGATGCCAGTGGGTATGCATTCGATCACTGTTTCTACTTTCTTTCTAGTTGAATTAATCTCGGATTAGGTATTGTGAAGTGAACTTATTATTTATGGGTGTGTTTGATTCAGGTTTATTACAAGAGACGAACTGGAATCAGCAATGAAAAAATACGGAATGGGAGATGAAGCTACCATTAAAGAGATTATTTCGGAAGTGGATACCGATAATGTGAGTATTTTTTTTTTTATATGATGATGATGATAGGAGGGGCATTTATGTCTTTTTCACTATTGGTTTGCATCAATCTCATGTTGAGGCGTAATTATTCATCACGGAAACATTTTTTTTTTTCTTTCAGGATGGGAAGATAAACTATGAAGAATTTTGCACAATGATGAGAAGTGGGACACCGGGAGGAAAGCTGTTCTAATACCATTTTAAAGCACTCAAAAAACTACTGAACCTTGAACCAGGTCTGATTGGCTAGCTTGTGAGTCAAGTAAGCATTCTATTTTTTTTTTTTTTGGAACTCCGTATACATCACATGTACAATGCTGTCTTGATTCATTCAATTGTTTTTGGTTTTTTTTTTAGTTATGAATTGATGATCTTTTAATGCAAACTGTATGCTAGTGACTAACTGGCTCTTGGACCAGCTTTTGTGTATGTAATTTGTTAGTAGTGTTAATGATTTCTGCAAACAAGTGAGTTGTTTCATTTTATTGAGTTAAAGTCTGAATACAAGCTAAACAACCTTCAAGCATACAATTCTCTACGATCTTGACTTGAATTCTCAAAATTTTATCACGTTATTCTACTAGCACAAACTCAATTCAAGCAGTGTTTTTTTTTTTTTTTTTTTTTTTTAATTTATATATATCGAGCATGATTCCAATGAAGCCTCTTTTGCTATTAGGATTTTGAATCAAACCCAAATCTTCCCAGTGTCATGCTTGAGCATATTGTTACACCCCTCCTATGAACGGTTTGAATTATATTTTAAGACCCTTAAATGTTCTTTTTTTCTTCTTCATAAAAGTGGAAGCCTGATACATTTACAAACTTTTAAAACGAGATATAAATTGTCTATCTCACCAAGTCTTCCCTTCACAAACTTGTACCAACACTTTGCCTCTCTCACCTGAGCTAGTCACACAGATATTTTACTTGGTAAAAAATAATAGTATATAAAGTTCTTGCTTGCATGTACATATTATAAAACAACCACTTTTTACTTTAATCACTTCAAAAGCCTTATTATTAGGAAAACATTCTAATAAACTCATACACTAAATTAAATAAATATCAAACACAAGCCAACAACAATGGTCAATGTTAATGTAACATGTAATGCATGATATCCCTGAGTCAACTCATGAAAATCACATGTTCCCCTAAGGCTAAGGTAGTGGTTTTTCGATTAAAGTCACAAACCCACCACGACATCTAATGTGATGATTTTCTTGAATTTCAATAATCATCATACGTGACTTCAATATAGATATTCATGTCACTTCTATCTTCTAATGAATAAACTTGTCATCTACTTATGAACAAATTATTGCTCGTGTACATGATTTATCAAAGAACTCTTCAAATCATCAAATTACATACATTCTTGATTTCACCATCAAACCCAATTGTTTTCTCCGTTTCTCGATACAAAACTCAAAACTGGAATCGAAAGGCAGGCGTTATTACTATGAGAGCTTCATATGTTGGCACAAATCTACTTGATCCATTTCACAACCTTTCAACTTATTTAGGATTACGAGACCTTAAACACACGAACCATTTGGACTTGGAATATAGAAAAAACACGTCAAATGTCGCATAAGTCTATAAGATGCATCGTATCAGTTCACCAACAAAATAATTAATGAAAAAACAAAATCTACAAAAAGGAATATATTCAACACACTTGAAACTTTTATTCTATCATGACCAAGCAAACTGGTGAAGGTAATCCAGGTACACATAACATCCATAATTGGATCACACACTTAACATAAAACAGAATTCAACAAATCCAAATAAGCATAATCACTAAGAAACTATATCTATAATTATTAAAACCTAAAAACCAAATTTTTTGAGTAATAGCAGAAACAGTGGTTTCAAAAACCATGAATCTTAATCTGATCCTTCTTCACAATACCAGCACGAGTCAAGAACGCAGACACGTTCTTGCGTTGATCGCCTTGTAGTTGGATCACTTTGCCCAGTTCTTTATCTTGCACAACAGTGCCATTGCAGCAGAATTCTTTCTTTAGATCTTTCAGAATTTTCTCGTAACTCAGCTCCTTCTTTAGGCCCTGAACAGTCGTCAAGCTTTTTCTACCATTTCTTTGTTGTATGCGGATATGAACATACTCCTTAATCCCAGCACCACCACCAGAATCTTGATCGACTTCAGCAAATGGATCGAAAGCAGATGGGATATGTACTCCTATATCAACCATGAACTTTGTTTGAATGAAGATGATTCGCTGTTCAAACAGAGAAAAAAGATCATCAGAATAGGAAAATTAAGATCAAAACAGCATATTCAGAAATCAAACCGCTAAAACCCCCAATTTGATTTTAAAAATCGACAAATTTCAAGATGACAATCGAGGTTCGTCTATTTTCTTTTTTACTTTCTAGAATTTGATCAACATATGAACTGGATGAAATACATCAAGAAATCAACCTAAGCACAAAAAAAGATATCCAGATAACAACCAATTTTCTTATTAACGATAACAATCGATGAACTACCATTTAATCCTTTTTCAAATACCGAAAGCTAATACCGATCCAGACCACCCCAGTCGAAATAAACACTAAAACAGATGATCGTGAATAAAAAAAATTCCCATCACCTCCGGAAACAAAGCAAAATAGATCAAGGGCGTTTAATACCAATCAAACACAGTCAGAATTGGTTGCACAAACCAACAACACCACGTCTCGATCGGTTGGCTCTAAACAATTGACTGAATACTCTCTTAAATTGAGGCAGATAGAGAAGAACAGAAATAGAAAAAATCGAGTTTTCAACAGTTAACCCTATCAACCAGACAATACCAAAATAAAACAGATCAAAAGATACCTGAGATCGCCGACTTTTCTTCCTAACCAAGAACGAAGAAAGATGAAAGAAAGTGTATATGTCAAGAAATCAAGATGAGGGCTGGGGGTTTATATAGAGAATAGCCGGGTCGTTTCTGTGGCGGTGGGTGTACCGTCATATGGGTCGGTTGATACGTGTTGCGACAGCTCACGGTTCTTTCTGGAATATTTGTAGATGTAAGATAATAAAAAATATGAAAAATTAAAAGGTTATTAAAAATTAAAAGCTCTAAAAAAAATAAAGTTATTTGAAATATAGTTTTTTTTTTTCTTAAGATAAACTTTTGAAACTCATACTTTCAAATTATTATTTTTTAATTAAAAGTTAAAAAATTTATGACGTCTTCAAAAACGATGTAGTTTTTACATTTTTTATTTTATTTATTTATTTATTTTGCATACACGCTTTATGATCGAACTATTGAATTATTGAATAATTTTTTTAATTCGATTTTTTTAATGAAAAGTTAAAAGTTTCTAAAAAATTAAAATAACTCATTTTCCGAATAAATTAATAATCTATGATTAGTATTTTTTATATATATAAAATAAGTTTGTATTAAATTAGATACGAGAAAAGACAAAGTTACATTCTAAGAATGGTCACTGTGGTATGTCCAAAATTGTTACTTTGGATCAAACGAGTTTGGACTAGCACTAATAGTCCAGAAGTTTTCGTTTTGCTGTGGTTTTGGACCAAAACAATTTAAAATTTTAAAAATGATGGATTTGCCATTTTCCATTTGTTTTTTGCTTTCTTTTTGTTATTTAATTATTTTCTAACTAAAAAAATAAAATAAAATAAAGTCTCTTTCTCTCTTCTCCCCCCCCCCCCTCTCTCTCTCTCTCTCTAAACCCCCAAAATGGGTAAAACTCTTATCTACGATCTCTCTTGCCCTTTCTCTCGATCCACACGTCTGGTGATTTGGCCAATTTCATCATGTAAACAGAAGAGAACGATGAACATTGTTCTATTGAATCTGATTGTAACTTGCAGGTGGTACCAGATTCGAAGAACAGGGGTGTGGAGACAGTGGGTGGAGGTGGTTGCACAATTAAAACGAGAATAGGCTTGGTGAATCTATTAGAACTTTGAAACCTAGATGATGAAGGTTCAGACCCATATATTTTGAAGGTTGAACCATGAAGTTGATCAAGGAAACAACGGTCCAGGGCAAGAAAGGGATCAGGGTTATTGTGAAACCTACAACATCACCCTTGTTGAATTGATCGGGATACAAGACCATTGATCTGATATTCAGAGATTAACGAGGAGGAGAGTGATGAACATTGTTGTTGCTTCTTGTGATTGATTTATCCCAAATGATGGCGGTGGTGGTGTTAGATTTAGGGTTAGCATCTCCAGTAATGGGGTGGAAGGCAAATTTGATAAACACCGACGTCTTTTGGTAGAGGAAGACGAAGTCGGTGGATGGACCTAGATCGATTCGTTTTCTATGGCGAGATGAAAGCATCATTGTAACCCGGATCGACAAGACAAAATCTTTGGAGTCGTAGTTGCCAAAACCCAAATTCTACAGATCTCGGTAGCAGTGTTGTGATTCAATGAAAAAGACGATCAAGCCGGAGAAGACGAAAGAGGGCTTCAGTTTCAATGGTTTCCGGCGAGGAGGTGCCTATATGTTATGTGGTTTCCAAGAGAGAGAGAGAGAAGGGGGGGGGGAGAGATTTTATTTGATTTTACTTTATTATTTTTTATTTAGAAATTAATTAAATAACAAAAAGAAGAGCAATAAACAAATGGAAAATGGCTAATCCGTCATTTTTAGTTTTTTTAAACTCTTTTGGACCAAAACTGCAGCAAAATGAAAAGTTTTGGACTATTAGTGCTAATCCAAACCCGTTTGGCCAAAAGTAGCAATTTTGGACATACCACATAGACCATTCTTGCAATTTTCGTTTTAGACTTGTATGTAATTATGTATGCAATATCCATTCTTAGAGAGGGAACTCCTATGCTTTTAAGTTGAGAATTACTTTATTTTAGTTTCCCAAAAAAACATAAAGCCTGATATTTTCTTATACGTAATACACTAATTAAAGATATGAATTTTTTAAATTTTATAAAAGATAATAATGAATGGAGTATAATTAATTAATTAATCAATCCTAATAAATAAAGAACTTTTTATCACTTATCATATTCTTATCTAATTTGTCACATGTAATTTTTTCATAATTTTGACTTATTGTTTTCCATATGTAATTTGCTTATTAGTTAGATTTTATTTTTATTGACACATTACTGATTTAATTATTCTAATTCATAATGAAGGTTGAACCCATTACTTGTTTTTTTTTATCCGAAAATTCAGTAGCTATTAAAAATACTTATACTATGTGATTAAATATTCACATCATTACTTTAAATGAAGGTTGTGTTTGATGAATTTTTTCTTAAATAAATACTATCAAGGTTGTGTTTGATGAATTTTTTCTTAAATAAATACTATCATTGGATTGGATGTGAAATTGTTACTTTACAAATTCCTTATTCATCAAAACATGTTATATATTAAAATTATTACTTTACAAACTACTTAAGGTTTATATATATATATATATATATATATATATATATATATATATATATTAATAAAACCATGTAATACACGATTTTCACACCTAATTATATTATATAAAAATATTTAATTATATTTTATAAAAAGTTCATCCTCAACCTTAATATAGTTACCCAGAAAGAATTTTGATATTTTTGATTATATATTATAAAAAGAATGGATGGAAATCGAAACTCAAACCGTAGCGGCGTAGAGTGATATCAAAAAATCTATTAATATATCCAAAATTTGACTTTGAGATGATAAGAACCTGATGTTTATTAAAAGAAATTTTTTAAGTTGCGTAAATATGACGCAGGGGGTCACCCATCGGGTCAGGCTTGTAGAGCCCACAGCCCATGTATAATATTCGGGCACTAACTAAAGAGTAAAGAGTAAAGAAGCTGATTTTGGGTCAAGGTCCTTTATTAGTGGAACCCACAAGCCCATTTTATCCCATGTGGTTTGTGTTTGCTTTGCTCTTAGCGGAGGCCTCAACTACAATTACAAATAATGCATATTAAATAAAAAAATATCTAGAATCTTAATATTTTAGTCCAATTCAAAAAAAAACATAAAAATATCTGTTAACATTTGAAAAAAAAAAAATTTGATTGGTTTTGTAAATTTAGCCGGTATTCTGTTATTTTTGGTTAGTTTGGTCAAAATATTGAGATTTTTCTGAAAATTACTCAATAACCAAAATATTGAAACTTTTCTGAAAACTATTATGAAATTAATGGATATTATTCTTAACAAATCATTTATAAACATAACAAACATTTTTTTATTATAAACAAAGGAAGTATATTTGTTGTTAATTTTTAGGAATAAAATGGTGGATTAGGTACTCCTCTATTGTTTGTTGACCACTTCAAACTCTCTATGTCCTTTATATGTATCGTTGTAGGTGCTATAGTAAGATGTATTATGTACGTTTCTCCAATTAAATACAAGAATTGATAATATTTATTAATATACAATCAATAAGGGTTTACTTGATATTAGGCATGACGTTATAGGATCAGGTGTTACTAGAAAATATCATTACACAATGATTCTAAAACATATAGATCTTTTATTATTCTAACGCCTTGTTTCGAGTCGTTGCCATTGCAAGGTAGTGAGCAAGTAATGGGTATTAGCTGACTTAGAACCCCTGAAGAATCGACTTTGGGCTCATTTTGAGGTGAATGATGTAGTGTGGATGATCTGAGTATTCGATTCGTTCTATGGAGCCCACGTGTAACGCCCCAAATTTCAGAAGTTCAGCGAAGGGCAAAAAGTGTAAATTTAGGAAAGGGACTTGACGAGTAGGTTCGCTTACTTGCCGATTCTGAGCGGGATTCTGTCGCGGTTTAAGTGGCCAACTCGCCGAGTCAGCGGCTTGGACTCGACGAGTTGGTGCTGGAGAGAGAAAACCCTAATCCCGAGGGTTGCACCCTATTTAAAGGACTTTATGTCCTTCTCCCAGCCTCCTAACCCCCCTGAGAGTTCCAAAAACCATGATTTTTGTGTGAGACTTCATTGTTGAGGAGATTAGAGCTTGGAAGAGGAATTTGGTGGAAAGAGCTTGAGGAATTAGAGGCGAGCATCAAGGGGGTTGTGTGGATCTGGGATCTACATTTTTTTGGGCACATTTCAGAGGTAAGAAGCCATAATCTTAAGCTAATTTCCTTTTTGGTTCATCCTTGGTGGTTGATGTAGAGTTCCTTAGCTTGTTTGAGATCTATTTCGGGTTGGAGTTTAGATCTGAGGTTGCTACTCCAGATCTAGACTTATGATGGCCTAGAATGTCATAAAGTTTCAGTCATTGAGTTGTTGGTTATGCCCCTTTGTCTAAAACCAAGCCCTAGTGTGTTTTGGGCCTATATCTCCTTGGTTTCATGTAAAGTTTGCAACTTTATGTGAGGGATAGATTGTAGAAGCATGGATCTATGGATTGGAGCTCCTGCATGGCTCGAAAAGCCTCTGAATGGTTTGAGAACTGAAGAGACTCAGCGAGTCACATGGGTGTACTCGATGAGTTGTATGACCATGTGCATGGAATCGACGAGTCTGTTGCAGATTGCCTTGGACTCGACGAGTCTGTTCTTGGACCCGACGAGTCAGGTCGCAGAACCCCAACCTATTATGGTTAAAGCCTTGGATTAAGTGAGTCGGTCAGGATGGGACTCAGAGATCGTTAGACTCGGCGAGTTAAGTTGTGTTATGAGAGTTTTCTGGGAATGGGAACTCAACGAGTCTACGAGTTGACTCGGCAAGTAAAATCAATCAGGAAGGTTGACTTTGACTGAGGACTTTGACTTTGATCAATAATTGAGTTTGACTTCCAAGGGTATTTTGGTATTTATGGAATTGGTTCTTTGGTAGTGTTATATGGTGAAGTTCGTGTCGGTGGTCGGAGCAGTTTGGTCTTATCTCTTGAGTCGGCAATTGCAGGTGAGTTATCCTCACTATATCGACAGGGTCTACGACACCAAGGTCGGCCCTTTATCGGATGGAAATCCGGGTATTCTTTGTTATGTTATTCCTTTTCTAGATCTGCATCCTGATATTTAGGATGGTATTATGTTAGTGACCTAGTTAAGGCCGGTTCCTGGTATTTAGGGTAATGTTATGTTATTGACCTGGTTAAGGTCGGTGCCCGGTATATATGGTGATGTTATGCTAGTAACCGGTTAGGCCGGAATCCTGGTTAGGATGTTGATATGCTATGTGATCTGTTAGACTGTTTTTCTGGTTAAGGATTTGTTATGTGATTAATTGTTGTATGTGCACATGGTTGTTTGATGGGGGTTGGGTTGAGGCGGGTCCTACTTTGTGTTGTAGGCCAACATACCTAGGGCGGACCGGATATTCCGATGGCCCAGCGAGCGGTTCGGATAGGCTGACGGCCCCAAGAAGGCGGACCAGACGTGTCGAGGCTCGGAGAGTGGACCATGCCAACTGAAGGTCCGACGTGGGCGGACCAATCATATTGTAGACTCAGAGAGTGGACCCAGGTGGATTGAAGGCCCAGTGCGGACGGACCAATCTCACTGTAGACTCGATGTTCATGGCTAGACTCGGAGGGTGGACCAGGTGGACTGAAGGCCCGGTGCGGGCGGACCAGTCACGCAGTAGACCTGATGTGCATGGATGTTCTATTTGTGATATGTTATGAGTATTCTTATGTGTGGTTGGTATTTTGGGGGTAACTCACTAAGCTTCAGGGCTTACAGTTCAGTGTATTGTTTCAGGTACTTCAAGAGATCGTGGCAAGGCGAAGACTTGATCGTATCGCTCCTCATGTTTTGTGATTTATGTGATATGGTTATGGGGGATACTATGATGTTTAAACTATTTTGAAAACAAGATGTATGAACTTAATTGTTTTTGAATGAGATAAAATGTTTTAACTTGGCTCAAATTTTATAGGTGTTATGCCAAGGGTATCGGTAAAAGCGTTGGTTCGATCCTTTTTTGAATATTGGATTTAATTTCGGTTGGTTTTCAGGCTATGTAAAGTTGATAAAAGTGTAGGGCTTCTCGTTACCATTTCGTGGATATAAAGAACGTCAAAATTGGAGTTATAACGAAGAAGTTATGACCATTTGAAGTTAGAAGGGTTTGGGCCGAACTGGGTACGCGGGGCATATGAGATATGTATGCATGGCTTACTTGGGTGTTATGGACGCGGGTGCATATGGGAACTCCCTGCGTTCCCCAAGGGAACGCGTTGTGTTCGTATGGGCAGACTAAACCCTAATTTTCGGGTCTTGAACCCTATTTAAACACCTTAACTCACCTCCAACCCTCATTTCCGCCAGCCTCCATCCTATCTAACCCTAAGAACGAAACCCTAAGCCTCTTGCATGCATTTTGAGCTTACCTTGAGCATTTTAGTCTTATTT